GTATATACACACAACAGAATATTATTCAGTCTTAAAAAGGAAACGAAAGGTTAGGTGTGGTGGCTCATGCCTGTAATCCCAGCACTTTGGGAGGCTGAGGCAGGAGGATCAACTGACCCCAGGAGATCAAGGCTGTAGTGAGCCTTGATTGTACCACTGCACTCTAACCTGGGCAATAGAGTGAGACCCCAACTCAAAAAAAAAAAAAAAAAGGCCAGGCACAGCGGCTCAGCCTATAATCCCAAAACTTTGGGAGGCCGAGGCAAGTGGATTGCCTGACCCCGTGAGTTCGAGACCAGCCTGGGCAACTTGGCAAGACCTCATCTCTACAATAGATAAAAAATTAGCCAAGTGCAGTATCGCGCGCTTGTAGTTCCAGCTACTCGGAAGACTGAGGCAGAAGGATCGCCAGAGCTCAGCAGGTCAACGCTGGGGTGGCCGTGAATGTGCCACAGCACTCCAGCCTGGGCGACAGAGTGAGACTCCAACTCAAAGAAAAAAAATGAAGTGGAATACACACAACATGAATAAATCTTGAAACATTATGCTAAGTGAAACAAGCCAGACACAAGAGGACAAATATTCTATGATTCTATCTATATGAGGTACACAGAATAGTCAAATCGTAGAGACAGAAAGAATAGTGGTTGCCAGAGGCTAGGAGTAAAGCAGAAAGGAGAATGGAAATTATTATTGATACCCAAAAGACCCTCTGTTTGCGATAATGAAAAGGTTCCAGAAAAGGATGATAGTGACAGCTGCACATTAGTGTAATGTACTTCATGCCACTGAACTGACACTTAGGAATGGCTAAAATGGTAAATTTTTAAAGTACATTTTAACATGATTTTTTAAAATCCTCACTATAGTCTGCCACATAGTAGGTGCTCAATTAAACATTAACTATCATTAGTGTTAAGAGAATTCAGAAGAGAAAATTATTTACAGCCAGTAGATCAGAAGTGTTGGAAAAATGTTATTGGAGCTAGGACTTCATGGATAGGCATGATGAACAGCAGCTTTAGCGGCACTCTGAAAATCAAAACTAGGTGCTAGGTGACAGGGGTCTGAAAATGCTTTTGCTGCCAGATGCAATAGCTCATGCCTGTAATCCCAGCACTTTGGGAAGCTGGGGGGAAAGGATTGCTTGAGTCCAGAAGTTCAAGGCCAGCGAGGACAATATAACAAGACCCTGTTTCAACAAAAAAATAAAATTAGCCAGGAGTTATTCAGGAGAATAAGGTAGAAGATCACCTGAGCCCACAGGTCGAGGCTGCAGTGAGTCATGAACGTGCTACTGCACTCTAGCCTGCAAGACAGAATGAGAGCCCTACGAAAGAAAGTCAGAAAGAAAGAGAAAGAGAGGGATAGAAAGAGAGGAAGGAAAAGTAAATGCTTTGTCAAAAGTTACAATAGCCAGACTTGGTGGCTCAGCCTGTAATCCCGCGCCTTGGGAGGCTGAGGTGAGTGGATTGCCTGAGCCTGCGGGTTCAAGACCCGCCTGGGCAACTTGGTGAGACCTCATCTCTACAATAAATTTAAAAAAATTAGCTGGGCGTTGGTAGCGCATGCCTATAGCTACTTGGAAGGCTGAGGCGGAAGGATCACCGGAGCCCAGCAGGTCGAGGCTGTGGTGGCCGGGAGCAGCCACTGCACCCCAGTCTGGGCGACAGAGTGAGACTCCAATTTAAAAAAAAAAAAGTTAAAATAACAGCTATTATGTGCCAGGCATAGGGGTTATACTGACAAGGATATAAACCCTGCTTTCAAAGAGCTCATCTTCCAGTGAAGGGGCCAAGCCCAAAGATGTAAGTGTGGAAAACTAATTCATTCAAGAACCAAACAAATGCCTCTTTTCATCTAATTCTGCATTTCACTGGATAGTTAGCAGTAGCTGATACTATTCTTAAAAATGTGAATATGGCCAGTCATGGTGGCTTACATTTGTAATCCCAGCACTTTAGGAGGCCGAGATGGGAGAATTGCTAGAGCCTAGCCTAGGCAACATAGCAAGACCTCATCTCTACAAAAAAAAAAAAAAAATTTAGCCAGGAGTGATGGTGTACACCTGTAGGCCCAGCTACTCAGGAGGCTCGGGTGGAAGGATCGACTGAGACCAAGTCAAAGCTGCAGTGAACCGTGATTGGACCATTGCACTCCAGCCTGGGTGACAGTGAGACTCCAACGCAGAAAAAAAAAATGAATTTAAAGATCTCTGGTTACATTTTAGGTCCTTTCCTTTCTCCACATCATTCTATCTTCCTACAACTCCTCCATCCCTCTTCTAATTTTCCACTTATTTCCCAAAAAAACACTAAATGTGCCATTCAATTTCTCTTCAGATTCTTCCAGTTAGTAAAATAAATGCAATCATAATTAAAAACAAAATAATAAATTAAGTCACAATATAAAATTGCTAATGATTCAAGTGGTTTTGACCTACAAAAGCAACAATTTCATATGGCTCAACTATTATAGTAACTCCCAAATCATTGCTTTTAAAATGGTTAAAAATGAATGTTATATATTTAGAAATTACATATATATTTAGAAAGTACAATGGCAGCAATAGGACTTCTTATTGGTAGGTGGCCTGTTGACTTCCAACTGATAAATCTGAGAGCTGCTTTCCTGAAGCCTAACAGGGAAAGCCCAGCAGCTGATCTGACCCAAATCCAATCAACATTTCTGCCATTGTCAGTTACTGAAATGCTTCATTTCTATTTGAAAACAATTTTTTTTTTTAAATTGGAGTCTCACTCTGTTGCCCAGGCTGGAGCGCAGTGGCATGCTCATGGCCACTGCAGCCTCGAGCTGCTGGGTTCAGGCGATCCTTCTGCTTCAGCCTTCCTCAGCCTGTAGCTGGAACTACAGGCCTCCACTACTACACCTGGCTAATTTTTTGATTTACTGTAGAGATGAAGTCTCACCAAGTTGTCCAGGCTGGTCTCGAACCCTTGGGCTCAGGCAACCCTCTCACCTCGGCTTCCCAAAATGTTGGGAGGCTTTAAGCATCGGGCCTGGCCTGAAAACAAAATCTTTTTAAAAAATTAAAAAAAAAATTTTTTTTTGAGTTGGAGTATTACTTCTTTGCCTAGGCTGGAGTGCAGTGGTACACACATTCATGGCCACCCCAGTGTCAACCTCCTGGGTTCCAGCGATCCTTCCACCTCAGTCTTCTGAGTAGCCGGAACTACAGACACATGCTACCATGCCCAGCTATTTTTAAATTTTATTTTATTGTAGAGATGAGGTCTTGCTAGGTTGACCGGGCTGGTCTCGAACCCATGTGCTCAAGCAATCCACTCATCTTGACCTCCCAAAGTCCTGGGATTACAGGCTGAGCCACGGAGCCCGGCCTAAAAACAAAATCTTTTAACCTGAATTCCAATACTCAAAATACTGCTATTCAGATGTGAGATGCTTAACATTTATAGCCAAAGTTTCACTTGAATGATCTGACATACAACAGAAAATACAACATTCAGCTATAAAAAAGAATGGATTACTAGGCAGGCACAGTGGCTTGGGGGGCTGAGTGGGGAGGGTTGCTTGAGGCCAGGAGTTCAAAACCAGCTAGGGCAACATAGCAAGACCCTGTCTTAAAAATAAATAAATAAATAAAGTGGATTATTGACACACACAAACAACAACATGGATCCATCTCAAAAATTTGCAGAGTAGAAGGAGGCATGGCCAGGCTCAGTTAAGCGTGTAATCCCAGCACTTTGGGAGGCCGAGGCAAGTGGACTGCCTGAGCCCACAGGTTTGAGACCAGCCCGGGCAACCTGGCAAGACCTCATCTCTGGAATAAATTTAAAAAAGAAAAAAAATAGCCGGGTATGGTAGTGCACGTAGTTCTGGCTACATGGAAGGCTGAGGCAGAAGGATCACCGGAGCTCAGCAGGTTGTCGCTGGGGTGGCCCTGAACGTGTGCCACTGCACTCCAGTCTGGGCAACGAAATGAGACTCCAACTCAAAAAAAAAAAAAAAAAAGGCAGAGAACAAATCATAGTATTCCATTTACATGAATTCCAGAAAAGTAAAATCTGATCAATGGTTAAAAAAAAAAAAAAAGTAGATTTGTGACTGCCTGGGGTTAGAAGTTGAAGAATTAATTGGAAAAAGGGGTATAAGGGAACTTTTGGGGAACAGTGGCAATATTCTATATCTTGCTTGGGATAGTGGTTATACAGGTTATAAATCTATCAAAATTCAAGGAAATATATACTTTGAATGGGTGCATTTTAATGTATGTAAATAGTATCTCAATTGAGTTGATTTACAAACACAAAATGTCAGTATATTTTAAATTAATGAGTAAAAGATGAGTATCTTCTTATTGAAAAAATAATATATTATGGACAAAGTTAAAGTTTCCTCTGACCACACTTCCAATACTGGTTTCTACTCCTAATCTCTCCTACTTACACCTAATTGCTATTAGGAGTTTGGTATGAATTCTTCTGAACCTTTAAAAATATATTTACATATACATAGAGCTACATAAAACACATAGTACTGTTTCATACTTAGATATAACTTAATATATAACAACTTAAATATAACTTGCTATTTTCACTTAGCATTATGTTTTGAGATTGATCCATGTTAATATAGACCTAGTTTCTTTCCTTTAACTACAATTTAGTAATCTACCCAATATTGTATGACTATACCATATTTTATTTAGCGAGGCCATTCTTCAGATATTTCAATTTGTTCCCCCTATTACAATTCAACAGTATAGTGGTAGAGTAGTTACCACTGGGGTGGGCATAGGTACTGCAGATGGCCTTCCAAGGGGACTTTACCCTCATCTGAAAGATTTAATTTTTTGCAATTCAAATGTATTCATGATTAATTTGTATACTTTAAGTATAAACTTTTTCAATTAAAGAACTTTGTGATATATAAATAGCAAAAAGAACAAAACAAAATTAGTATTAGGAAGAAAACTGTCTATTAAAATATAAGGAAAACAAAGTTGTGCAGCATAATAGTATACTCATGGTTTGATGCATAAGTATTTATTAAAAAATAATGAACACTAAATATATCATATAAACATATTCTCCTATGCAAAGCAATTCCAATTAATATATCAGCATATTGGTTATCGTGGCATAAACATACATGCACAAATACTTCATTTATATTTTTTGCTTTCTTCTTTTATGACTATGATGTCTTTCTCCATCCCTGAAATGAAAGGGTAAAAAAGAACTATTATAAATGGTGGACATTTTAATATCAGAGCTTGAAAATAATAATTCAACAGTAATATACTACTTTCATCAGACATAAACCAGAACAAGTTAAAACATGCATTTAGAACTCAACAGTGATTTTTTTTTTTGAGTTGGAATCTCACTCTGTTGCCCAGGCTAGAGTGCAGTGGCACGCTCATGGCCACCACAGCCTTGACCTGCTGGACTCAGGCGATCCGTCCACTTCAGCTTTCCAACTAGTTCGAACTACAAGCACACACCACCACGGCTGGCTAATTTTTTGATTTATTATAGAGACGAGGTCTCACCAAGTTGCCCAGGCTGGTCTCGAACCTATGGGTTCAGGCAATCCTTTCACCTCAGCCTTCCAAAGTGCTGAGATTATAGGCATGAGCCACCACACCCAGCCCCAATGGTTATTTTTAAAGAGTAAATATGGAAAACGAATTATTAAAACTGAGAGACAAAACTGAAAGAGGGATAAGCAAAATGATGTTTTAAAAGTTATGCTTTAGGCCAGGCACAGTGGCTCAAGCCTGTAATCCCAGCATTTCGGGAGGCTGAGGTGAGAGGACTGCCTGAGCCCGCGGGTTTGAGACCAACCTGGGCAACATGGCAAGACCTCGTCTCTACAATAAATAAAAAAAAATTAGCCAGAAGTGGTAGCATTTGCCTGTAGTTCCGGTTACTTGAAAGGCTGAGGCGGAAGGATCGCCTGAACCTAGCAGGTCGACACTGGGGTGGCCATGAGCATGCCACCGCACTCCAGTCTGGGCGACAGAGACTCCAAGTCAAAAAAAAAAAAAAAAAAAGTTATGCTTTAAAGTTCGACTTTGAATATAAGTAAATAATAGATGACCAGAGAATTCACTTCAAACAGAATATTAAAGTCACAGAAAGAATTCAGAAATTGTCTAATTTCCCTATTCTGGTTCCTATCTTAAGCCCCCATAATCCATTCCACCCCAGAGGTGGATATCAAAGATTAGCCTTGCCTTACTGAAAAGTATTTTTTGCTAATACCCAGCTTATCCTCTCTAAAGAACAATTATCTCATGCTTAGATTTTGAGGACTTCTAATTCCTATCTCTCCAGCTATCAAAAGTTTTCTAACAAGGGTGAAACCGACTGAGTTAGAATTTGGATCTTCTCTCTTACCCAATATACCCTATAAATGAGGAACTAGTAAGAGAAAGAAAGAATGAGGACAAGAATGAACAAGAGAAAGGGGGAAGAAAGAAGGAGCAGGAAGACATCAAGGCAAAAATGCCTTATAAATACAGTTAACTCCCTTCCTAGACATTACTTTTAATTGTCCTGGTTAGGAAGCAAGTAGGCAAGTGATGAAAAAAGGGAAACCAATATTCAATCACGCATAAAGAGGATTATGTCACTAGAGTGGTTATTTGAACTGAACTATAACAAATGTTAACAATCTTCATCAATTAATTACACTCCTTGCCTTAACTTATTCTTACGGTCAGTTTTGTCAGTGTGGTCTACAACAGAAGGATCTGTTTTGCTTTTCAAAAGTAAACAATTCAATGCTGGATGATGCAAGGTTAGACTCACCTTTCTTTCCTTCTTCTCGACTCAGAGTTTTTATCCTTATCTTTATTTCTTTTTCGTTTATATGGGCTCCTACTCCGATCTCTTCGATGTCGTGAACATTCAGCATCCAAATAGCTTCCACCAGACTGTCGTGAATCTACTGAAGCTGATCGCCTTTCTTCAGTCCTTAAACACAGAGAAAAACAGTACTCAGTTTGTTTTACCACTGGTCCCTATTGCACACAGAAACACACACTGGCCTGACAATGCGATATTCTATATCACAGCAATGTTACTAGGGTTTCAATAAATAATGTACAATCTTATATGCCATATAAGACAAAGAAACATAGCTCTTATGTTTCGTTATTTGAATATTTCACTAATATGGGTGCCACCCAAAATTGCAAAAGGGAAACGTCACAGAACAACCCTGGTATAATAATTCTGAGCACTGACAACAATAAACCATAAACATTTTGATGACTATATAGTGTGCTATCAGGGATCTTAAAAATGCTTCAATTTAACAATCATAGGTAACAAATGAAACAGAGAATATTTTTGTGAATAAAGACAATGACATACTTTTCAGCATCCTCCTCTGCTTTTTCCTGCTCTTCCTGCCAATGATTACTGAGTTCTTCCATGTGCACATTGATTACATCTCGAATCACCTTGGAAAAGGTAAGCACCAAATTTCAGATATAACTGCTCAAAAAAATCAAGTCAGAAAACCACTGCTAATAGTCAAATATTTACTAGGTGCTATGACATAACGGACTGTGGGACATGTGCAGTTTAGAGAACATAAAAAAGGCAAAGGTCAACCAAATATGAATAGTAGATAAAAGCACCACATCAGTGTTAAATATGAAATGGATAACTACTATGATTATGTAAGAAAATATCCTTATTCTTAGGAAATACGTGCTAAGTGTTTTTTTTGTTTGTTTGTTTTTTTGAGTTGGAGTCTCACTCAGTCGCCCAGACTGGAGTGCAGTGGCTGTTCCTGGCCACCGCAGCCTTGCCTGCTGGGCTCCGGCGATCCTTCCGCCTCAGCCTTCTGAGTAGCCGAAATTACAGGCACGCGCTACCACGCCCGGCTGATTTTTTGATTTATTGTAGAGATGAGGTCTCGCTGCCCAGGCGGGTCTCGAACCTGCAGGCTCAGGCAATCCACTTGCCTCAGCCTCCCAAAGGCATGGGATTACAGGCTGAGCCACCAAGCCCGGCTACGTACTAAGTGTTTAGAGAGAAAGAATTGTATGCTATGTACCTTACCCTCACATAGTTCAGGAAAATATGTAGACAGGTTGAGAGTAAAAACATGTAGATGGAGGAGAAAGTGCAAATGATAAGCATGTGGGGCAAAATGGTAACGACAGGTGATTCAAATAAAGGCTACACAGGAGCTCTTGATGTTATTTTTAGTTTTGCAACTTACCTCTGTTAGAAAGACAAATAATTTTTTAAAAACTTATAATTAGGCCAAGATGACTAAATTATGATTTAACAAGACAAAATATGTAACATAAAATAACTTCCCAGATACTTTCCCAATGAGACTCTAAGTACCTTACCTGTAAGAACCATTTGAAATTTTCTTCTTTTCTACTTACTCATGCCATCAAGTACAGGGTTAGTTGCTAGGGAGGTAAAGATGAAACTAAAATAGAAGCTTACATTTTCCTCATACTTAAATAGGAAATGTTTTAAGAAAAAAGGGGACAAGGGCAAGATATTATAGTCCAGGCCTAACTGCATTTTTCCTCACCTTAAGGACACTTTCAATAATTCCCAGAGTAAAATGAAACAATATCCAAACTCCTCAGTGAAGCCTTCAAAGCCTCCCAGGATTTTACTACATTAGGTATAAGCAGTCTTGTCTCTCAATGGAAAACTCATAGGTCTCTGAAAAGTACCTTTATCTGCTTAAGAATGTTAGTCCTTCCACCTGGAATATACTTTCCACCACTTTGCTCCTTCACTATAGTCTCTAGGGAAACGTAGGTCACATTGAGACCTAACCCAGTAGAGTGACATGTGTCCCACACACCTGTGCTCAAATTCCAGCTCTTACACCTCTCTAGCAGCCCATGAGACTCCTTGTCTAGTAGCTATGTGGGAGGCCACTAACACACAGAACCCACCCAGCACAGGCCTGCCACCCAGGAAAGTCTAGTAAGAAGACATGCCTTTACTCCTCCCTGCTTCTCCTTTCCCCCAAATGCGACCTTCTATATGAAGCCCAGCAATCTTACCTTCTAAAAAGAATCACTCTTTCCTCCTTTACATTTAGATTCCACCTTTATTTTAGCACTTAACAAAATCTATATTTTGGAGTGTTTTTTCACTTATCAAGCTATGAGATTCACCACCCCAAGGTAGGGGAGAGGGCCAAAGTTTGAGGGTGGGGTCTGGGTGCCATTGATCTTTGCATATCCTACAGCAGTATGTTCTGCGAAGTAACTGCAGTACTTAATAACGTTTAGCCAAAAATTGTCAAAGTCAGTTTGTCCCAGTCCAGAGCAAACAAAAATCATGTAGGATTTGAATAAAGTAAGGAATAAATAAAATGTTGAAAAGCCATGACCAGAGATCTGTAAACACTGAAGTATTTAGAGATGAAAGAGATGACCAAGAAGAGAGCAGGGGAGATAGGGAATGAGTATAAATAGGGAATGGGTATAAATAAAACAAGAGGGCAGAATGTTGATAATTTCTGAAGCTGGGTAATGGGTACATAAGAGTTGCTGAGATTATGCCATCTGCTTTAGTATGTTCAAATATTTCAATAAAAGGTTAACCATAAAATTGTAAAGAGCCCTAGCAGCAACACTGAAACTTGATTACGAGGTTATAAGACCACAGAAGAAAGAACTGATGAACCAAGTATCTGAGGGACTATAAGAATCCCCAAAGTAGAATGACATGGTCCCGTATGTCTCCTGGGGGAGGCAGGTCTAAAACATATTTTAATTGCAAAAAGAATACATAAAATTAAGTGTTAAGCTACATGGTACAGAGTATTAGTACAAGAAACTAGTGATGGTTCAGAGTCAACTAGCACCTTGTGGAAACTGTGGTCCTTCAACTCATCAAGATTTAAAATGGCAAAAACAAAGAGCATTTCAGGTGAGAAAGTAATACAGAAGTATGAATAAATAAGTGTAATCAGATATAGTTTAAAAGACATGCTTGACGGAAACAAAAGGAAATGCTTAGTAAAACAAGGCCAGATTATGGACAATCTTTGAAATCAGAAAGAAGAAATAATGTGGGAACAATTAGGAAATCAATGAGGAAGTTATCTGTGGAGCCTGGGCAAGGTAATTCATGTACCAAAAACTCCATCAACCCTAGCCATTAAATGACATCTGAAAATAAAAAGTCTAGATATATACCAAAAGACTGATGTATACATAATTTATGCCAACACATTTCTTAAGCCCCAAAATCTAGTAGAGTACATAAAAGTACACTAAGATTTTTGCAAAAACCAGATAATAGCTAATAGTTATTGAGAAATCTGTGTTCACACACACTATCTCAATCAATTCTCATAGCAACTCTGCAAGTGTGTATTATAACATTTTTACTGAATCTAAAAAGGTCAAATAACTTGCCCATCAAACAGTCAATGATAACTAGCAGAATCGAAACTCCAGCTAAGGTCTGTCTAAAGTCAAAACATGGTGCATCTTATCATGATGCAATACTACTTTCTCAAAAGTGGATATTTTGTAAGATTGTACAACCTCTTTATGTAGGGTTTTTGTACTATAAAAGTCTTTGCCTGATAAAAGGTGGGTCTAGACCTGATAGAGTAGATACAAATGGGGTGTGGTCACCCTGAGGACACTTTATTTCAGAAACTTCCTAGGAATTGTGGAAATTTATAGAATAAATTTAGCAAACAACCTGAGGGAAATTTTTGTTCTCAACAAAGCTGTACAGGATTATGTAACACTTACCTCAGTATATGATTTTTTGGTTATATGAACATTCTTAGCTCTATAAGACTGGCGTCTTCTTTTATAATCTCTCACTTCTGCCAGGATTTCAAGGTAGGATTTTGGACTTTTTCGACTATTATCTAACAAAAAAATAAAATGATATTGTTATATTCTTAGGAGCTTTTAAGTTCTTACAAATTAGCAGATAGGAACATCACAATACTGTATTTCAACTTTTTTTTTTAAGATGGGAAAATATAGTTTATTTAGAAAGTAAATTAAAGAGAGAGGGAGGGAGGGAAAGAGAGAGAGAGTGAGCTAGAGAGAGAGAGATTGAGAGAGAGAGAGAGAGAGAGAGAGAGAGAGACCAACCTCCCCAAGGTAGAGGAGAGGGCCAAAGCTTAGGAAAACATGGTGGCCATGGCTCAATGAACACATAGCCTGGCTAGTGCTTAGCAAAAACAATGGTCTATTTCAACAGATTTCAAGGTAGCACACAAAAAATTCTCAAAATTCTACATGATATATATATATACATGAGCTAAGATTTATATTATTCCTTTTCTCTAGTCATTATTTGGAGACAGTTTGAGTACACAGATAAAACTAACAGCACAGATGGAAACACATTCTTACAGAAGGAAGGGATGCTTAATGTAAAAGTCAGAATAAAACTTCATGCATGGAGAAAATATCTTTTTTTTTTTTTTTTGAGTTGGAGTCTCACTCTGTCGCCCAGACTGTAGTGCAGTGGCCGCTCCCGGCCACTGCAGCCTCGCCCTGCTGGGCTTCGGTGATTCTTCTGCCTCAGCCTTCCAAGTAGCCGAAATTACAGGCGTGCGCTACCACGCCCGGTTAATTTTTTATTTATTATAGAGATGAGGTCTCACCAAGTTGCCCAGGCGGGTCTCAAACCTGCAGGCTCAGGCAATCCACTCACCTCAGCCTCCCAA